TCTCTCCTGTCAGGTAAGAACAGGAACCTGAGGCTAAGATCCACACAGGGTCACCAGAACGGGACCAAAGAGACAGGAAAACTGTTTCTGATGAGTCTGGATTGAGCTGTGGCTCAGAATTTGGTGTCACCAACATGAAAGGATGGATCCATCCTACCTTGCATCACTGCCTCAGGCTGCTGCTGCTGTAATGATACGAAGCACATCATCGTGTCCCTCCTTGAACCCCTCAGTACCACCTGATCCTGGTTTAAATACCACAGCCTACCTGAGTATTGAAGCTGACCTTGCCCATCCCTTTATGACCACATGGACGTATCTTCTCCTCATTCAGCTCTTCCTACCAATTCTGCCTTTCACGAAATTCACTGATGGCTTCTGTCTCATTCGTTTTCTCTTTTCCTTTCCTCACATTTTTTAATCTTAATTCTTTTTACTTTTCCCAATTTTATGATTTAAGACTTTAATATTTTGTCAGTTTTTGTTCTTGTGAAGCGCCTCATGATTTTTATCTTGAAGGGATATAAAATATAGCTTCTTCTTCTTCTTCTTCTTCTTCTTCGATCTAAAGTACCTGAAAAGCTCAGATCATCTCTAACTGGTTTCTAGATCACGACCATGAGCTTACTGGACTCCAACGACCTCCACAGTCACCAGATCTCAAACCGGTCCAGAACCTTTTAGATGTGGTGGAACAGGAGCATCTCAGCATGCTGTCGCTGTGTGTGGTTTTCACGAAGAACGTTTGTAACACCTTGTTGAATCACTGACAAAAGGAATTAATACCAGTCTGACGGCAAAGTAAGGTGTGATCACTGGATCAAGTGGCTGCTGAATGCATTAGGCATGAAGATTTTGCATGACTTTTATTACATTTTAACTTTGAATGCTGTGCAAATTTCCTTTAAGTAATCTATTCACAAAGTTGTTTAATCATGGCTCCATCCTTTCACAAATTACCCTCTTAAATAAAATATTGGGTCACCAACACCTTCTAAAGTTTACTCATGTGTCTCACGCTTTCTGGCAAAGACAGAAAAAAAGAATCCTGGCGCACATGTTCAGACACTGAAGTAGTGGTTTACTTATTTGCAAAAACCTTATTTCAGCTTTTTTAAAAGATTTGTATTATTTAGTAGAATAAATCATTGAAGAATCATTTGGAGGTAACACACGGGCGTGCATAGTAGAGCCGTTTAATGAAGAAGGCTCATTTGAGCCCTGCTCACTGCCAGAACAGCTGATGAAGGGAACCTGCTGGGCCACAGTTAGAATAGAGAGGCACCGGCACCCCCATCGGATTCACGCTGGAGAGACACACACTGGCGACAACGAGCACGTAGAGCTGGTGCAAGGCAGTAACTGCTGCTTCATCCATCTCACTGAATGAGAAACACAGAGGAGACCTGCAGCCAAATGCTACCAAATTCCCTCAGCGTTGTTTTATGGGATTATGAATTAGCCGTTTGAATGGCCCATCTGCCTCAGAGCCATTAAGAGACTCATGTGCTGGTATATGAATGGAGAATTTGCTCGCACACAGACACACATGCACTTACAGATGGTGGCCCCCTCCAGTAATAATCCTGTGTTTGCACTCTTTGTGGAGTGTTGTTGCCATTCATATCAAACTTTCACACACACCCGTGGTTACGGAGGGTGAATGTGTGTCCGTCTGAAGTTTTAGCTCACATTCTGGTAACAAATAAAACTCTTTTTGCTTCATTGTTTAACAGATGAGTCCAACTTAGTTTGATTATAATCATGAAGCTGAAGTGAAGAATTTCAAAATGCATTTTAACAAGCGCGGTGTCTGAAACGCTGCACACCTTTCAGCTACAATCAACACACTCAAACCTTTACCAACACTGAGGTAAAAGTTTTAAATAATTATGCATCAAAAAATCCGTGAATGAAACCCTCCCAGTAGCATCTAATAATGGGCTGCTCAACTTGTAGCTTAGCCAGTGCTAGCTAAAACGTTGTAGTTTTGGCTAACTCTAATTTCCCTGTTTGTGTGTGTTCCCAGCTATGCAGAGGAAGCCAGTGGTCACAGAGGTCCGCACACCCACAGACACCTGGAGCGGTCTCGGCTTCTCCAAGTCAATGCCAGCTGAGGCCATCAAAGAGCTCCGTAACATCAGCCGGCGCAGCTACAAACCCTACTTGAGCACCAGCAATAATCAGCAACAGGTGCATTTCAGCCTAATGCCACATTAACACATTATTAAGCCTAATGCCACATTAACAAATTATTAATGCACACAGTCTCCACAACAAAATTTATTTCAGCCATTGGAAGACCACATTTATTTGTATCTAAATGTCTTTTCCCCATCTTGCAAAGATCTTGAGCTCTCTGAAGGCCATCGTGGATTAAGAAAAAAACTTTCTGATGGATTAGCTGCTTTGTACTGAGGTGACCTGGCCTAATCTTTGCAGAACATAAAATTGCTTTAGAACAGAACGTTACCTCACAGGCTGTGTAGGAGACATAATGGTTGCAACACCTCATTTGCCCCTTTGTTTTGCGCTGATGACTCAGAAATGGAGGGAATTGGAAATGATACCAGTTTGCTTACTGGCAAGTTTAAGCCTTTTCTATGAACTTCACTTCTTAGTGGTTTAAATTTAAAGGCGATTTAAAGGTGTGGAACACTGAAAAAACATTTTTTTAATAAATATTTCTTATTATGATCGGTCACTTTGAGTTTTTCATGCAGGCTGAACATGAAAATAATCTCCTTAATCTATCTCCTGCATTAGCTTTATAATAGAAAATAGATGTTGAAACGCTAGGACTCACCCATCTTGGCACATGGGGGGAAGGCTGTTGTTGTTTTAGTGACCAGAAAATAGCATGGAACGTCTCGGCTAGTGGAAGCTAACAGTTAGCTTTAGCAACTCAACCAAACATGGCATAAGCTCCTTCAGGGTTTGTGTTATTTGTGGACATAAAACGTCCACAATGGAATAAGTGGAAAATGGATTAAGTGGTAGAGTCTAGTTTGCTGTTATCCAATCCGAGGTGAGATCAGGAGATAAAACTCCACATCCTGCTGTCTGCTGCCACTCTGATGCAGCAGACTTGTCCGTGCTGATCCAAGCACTTCTGCCCCCACTCAAGTATGACTTGCAAAGCATTCATTTCTACCAGAAACCACTGCAAAATATTGATTCAATGAGTGTTTAACACCTTTAAAGCTACACAGCTATCCCGTCCTGACTCTATGATAGATCTAAGATTTTTCCGAGTATTGGGCCATAAAGGGGCCACAATATTTATAAAGGGGCCAAGTATTAGTCCTACCTCCTAACACAAGCTGAATATTCCTATTTTGCTCATTAGCACCACTAGTGTTTGGATTTATAATTGCATCAACCTGTAATCTGATGAGATTACAGATAACTGGCAGATAACTGAGTTTTTTTTTAAAATTAGATTCCAGCAGGGGCAATGCCTCTGTGGCCCCACCCCTAGAACCGCTAATGCTTTGACCTATTATTTAGATTTAGTTACTGAACGGGAGACCTTCTGCAAAACGAGTTTGCCTGGAAATGTCACGCTGTCTTGCAAAATGGAAAATAAAGCACTTTAATTAGCTTCAACCTGTAAATAGCTGACACTATTCATAATCCTCATTAGAAGATTACTTTAATAATTTTCAATTCAATTAAAGTTTTTTTATATCGCGCCAAATCACGACAAGAGTCGTGTCAAGGTACTTCACATTGTAAACATTCCAATACAGGTCAGTTCATTAAGCCAATCAGTAAAAAGTTTCCTATATAAGGAACCCAGCAGATTGCATCAAGACACTGACTAGTGTCAGTGTCTTTACAGCAATCCTCATGCTAAACAAGCATGTAGCGACAGTGGAGAGGAAAACTCCCCTTTAACAGGAAGAAACCTCCAGAGGATCCTGGCTCAGTATAAGCAGCCATCCACTATGAGTCACTGGGCATCGAGAAGACAGACATTTTGCCACTTTCCATTGCATTTGGCAGTTCCTTTAAATCAGTTGTAGTAATTTCTAGCCTAGTGAACTAGACCAAATTCTTGCTTTGCAAAGTTTGGTCTAGGCACGCTCCATTGGAACCTCAGCAGCTCCTACCAGGACTCTGGCTAGCCAATCACAGCTCTCTAGAGGGGTTTCAAACACATAAAGAGCTGTGATTGGTCCATAATGGTGGGCCAATCATAGTGTTCTATTCTGCTTAGTGAACAAATCACAGAGCTTTATCCACTTTGTGGGCCAATCAGGGCATTCTATATGCCTGGTGGGTGGGATGATGCAACAGAGTGAAACAAGAGTATGTCACATTCATTGTCCAGTGAAATGCGGAGATCATTTGAAAGACAACGGTAGAACCCACCCCACAACCGAGAGCCGTCAATGGAGCATGGCCAGACTAAATAATACATTTATTTAGTCTGGCTTGCCAGGCTAAGAAATTTTAGCATTTTTCTAGATCTTGTTGTTTTTCTGGAACAGAAAAATCAGTGAACCCCCCAGAATAGTTTCAGATTCATGAGGTTTTTTTCTGATTTCATCTCTCACATCATCAGTTGGGGTTTACACTTTGATACAAGCTAAAAAACATATTTTATTACCTTTCCAGAGTCACGTTCTCTCCCATTTGCCTTGCTAAATCCAGGAGGTGACCTTTCTTTCCCCTGACTAGACAGTGAAGCTGTTGATGTAGTGACTTTTGCTGTCCACGCCTTTGGGGTAATTTTTTGCTGTGCTTGTTTCACTGCACCACAGCCTCATTTGTTGCTATCACCCTCTAACAGTTTGAAGCATTTATCTCTCTGTGTGGTAAGTGCTGCCAATTTGCACGCTCAGTTACTCTGGATGTGATACCATCGTCACAGTCAACACAGCAACCTGTTTAGCTGACTCGTTTTAGCTCATCTCCCTGACTTTTTAAACACTGTGAATCCCCGAGCTGCCCATTTTCCACATGAAAATTCATTCACTCGGAGAGCTTGCAGCAGTTTCATTATAATTTTATTAAAGCACAGATTTAAAAAAAAGAGTTGAAAATAAGAACCTGTGACCAAGCAAGAAAGTGCTGAAGCAGTTTCAAATGTGTTCAGAGAAAATTAAATGTAGTTAATCTTTATTTTAGCCACACTTTCTTTCTTTGTGTCTCCATCTAGCCCTGGGCCGCTCAGACTGGGAAGGTGTGTAATGGCAGCGACTCTGAAAACTGGAGGGAAAGACGTGGATCCGCATCCCATCCTTCATCTTCCTCCTCTCCGTCCTCCCCCTCCTCCCCTACCTTCTCCTCTCCCCCCTCCCCCTTTCCTGCATTTACAGCACAATCGAACAGAAGCAGAATCGACAAACCCTGTAGGTTCTTTTAAAGAATTTCAAAACCAAATGGATCTCTCTGGTTTCCTGACTGTTAACCTCGTAATCCTGATGCTCAGCGGAAAGCTTCGTCAGCAGCGGCGGCTACTTTGAAGACGAGTGCTCGTTGAGAAGGGCGTCGACCTGCAGCCAGCGTAGTCCCTCCCCGCTCGTGAAGGATGACCTGCCTGAGCTGCTCAGCCAACTCGGACTAATCAAATACATTGATGTGTTTGAACAACAAGAGGTGACACTCAGAGAAGTTCAGTGTGAAAGTACTATCCACACGTGAAATGTTTGTAGTGATGTCCTGATTAGTTATTTATTTTGTGTCCTTAAAACAAATAAGTCATGTAAGAATAATCATCACACACAGCACAACATAACAACCATTACATGTATTTGCAGGACGACAGTTTATCTACACCAATCAGAGTTTGTCTCTTTCTCACTTCAAACAGAAGTCTCGTGTCACCATCCATTTATAAAGGTTATTTTAAACAACAATCATTTCTAATGAATACTATTCGTTGATCTGCAATCAGTATTAAACACACCTGTAGACATGAATTATACACAACCAGGATCCTGAAACACCAGCAGGTTGTGTTCAAAGAGATTTAAAAGGCCAACAGTGTTTATAAAAATAAGTCCCAAACTGTGCAGCTCTGTGCAGAGTTCTTCTCTGATTTAGCTAATTAAAAAACACACAAACTGCAGGAATATGAGAAACAAAGAGCTGCTGTTCCACTGCTAATTTGGTGAAATTTAGCAGTAATTCAAACAGAAACAAATAAAGCTAACTCAGACTTTTTTTTTCTCTTTGTTTCATTCAAAGTGTTAAAAAAATATATACACAAACAACAACAACAACAACAAAATGCGTAAACATGAACACCAAACAGTTTGAATGAAAAGGGCCAGAAGGAAGAAATGTCTTATATTATCTGCCCCATTTACAAACCAAACTTTTAAAATAATGCTTCCATACAATTCTCAATAAACAACAAAACAAAACGAAACACAGATTCATTTTATATTCTTGTAACTTACAGACCTAATCAGACACCAACTGAATTTAGCATTTTCGAGTCAGTGTATTTATATAGCATCAGATCATAACAAGAGTCATCTCAGGGCCCTTTGCAAAGTAAACATTCCAACTGAACCTACTTATCAGTGCATTAAGTGCAGTTCATCATTTAAATTAGTTAAACGTTTCCTATATAAGGAAGCCCAGCAAATTGCATTGAGCGACTTTTCAGCAATCTTCATACTGAGCAAGCATGTAGCGACAGTGGAGAGGAAAAACTCCCCTTTAACAGGAAGAAACCTCTAGCAGAACCTGGCTCAGTGTGAGCAGGTAACTGTCACGGCCAACTGGGGGGTTGAGATGATGGAGCAGATTAAAAATAAACAGATGAACTGGAGTGGGAGTACTTTCTGTGATAACGAAAGTAAAACATTAACAGCAGGAGAGGGAGAATGTTTAGTGGTTGGCAGTAGTGTGCCAGCTGATGGCCCCTCCAGGAGGGCATCACAGCTCAGCAGAACGTCAGACCCAGCTTCTCTGCAGAGAAAAACACTAAGAGAAAACATAAAGTTGACAGTTGAAATAAGAGGACATGAGATAATACAAGAGCAGCGATAGAAGAAAGTAGCAGAGTGTGGCTTTCATTGGCTATTATTCCCTTTGGGCCCCTGCTTCAGCTCCTGATGAAAAGAGTTTGTGACATTTTATTGTACAGCTGAAAACCAAACATAGTAGAGCAGCAGCAGAGGTCAGGGGCAGAGTTGCCACAGATACCATGAATGAAAAAAAAAAACACAGTGGTTGGCTAGCCTGGCGAGCCATTCTATCATGTGAATATCTAGTCTGGCCATGGCCATGACCCATAGACAGATTTCAGCCACGGGGAGAATCTATGGTTGTCTTTCAAACTGTCTCCTCATGCTATTGGACAATGAGTAACATGACATACTCACTGCTATGGATGTCAGGTAACGCAGCTTTTTTTTTCTTCTTTTGCTCAGTTGGTAACATCCAACCCACCAAACCTTTTACATATCCACAACATAGAAATGTCTTGATCCGATCTCAATTATTTCGCCTAGAGGTGCCGATCACTAGCCTAGAAATCTAGAATGACAGTAGCAGAAGCAACACAGACTCAGCTCTGATTGTCGGTCTAGCCACGCTCCATCAGAACCTCAGCAGGCCTGAACAGTCTAGTGTCCTGCCAATCACGGTGCTCTATCGCTTTAGTAGGTGAGGTGTTACAGTGACTGAGCGAAACAACAAAGATTCTTCTTTGGCAATGCATGGTGGACTGCCCCGTGACATCTGTAGCTGTGAGTCACGTTGTTCTTTGTCCAATAATACATGGAGACAGTTTGAAAGACAACCCCAGGACTGAGGTGCCGTACTTCCGATAATATTTCTAGAAATGACAACTAAAAATAATTGATTGTGTGAAAATTAGGTTATAGTCAACTCAGAAAGGCATAACACTGGATAGTGGATGAGCTGGTGAAGAGCAGCCAGATTTATGCATAATAAATGATCTCCAATATCTGTACTCACCCAGATCGACTACCAGACCTTCCTCACTCTGTCTGACGAAGATCTGAAAGAAGTAGGCGTCTCTACCTTTGGAGCGAGACGCAAGATGTTGCTAGCAATCTCAGGTGAGAAACTGCTTTCCTGCCGCTAATGACCCCATGTCCATCTGTTAAAGTGATATTTTGTTTGTTTCATCCTTTTAAAACAATTATCTGACCCAGACCTGAACAAGAGCAGGAGGAGGCTTTCAGACGCGCCCTCCATCAAGCCTGTTTACTTGGAAGGAGGCGCGAGTGGCAGACTTCCACGCATCATGGATGTAGATGCTGCAGCTCAGAATAACCGCTGGTGAAGGGAGACGCAGACCAGCTCTGAGCTCTAGAATAATGCAGAAGTTTTCTAATTACACGCTGATTGCTGTTGCCAGAAAACTTCATGTTACCAGAAATGGAGAAGCCTGAAGTTGGAGCAAAAGGTGTGAAAATGTTGATTTCCAGTGCCTTTCTTCAACAGCAACAACCCAAAGTTTATTTTTTATAAAACCGAAGACAGTATTGTCCTCTTTACAAAGACATGGTGATTACAGCTTTTTGTTGTATTTTTACCTGTTTAAGGGCCTTACTTATGCAAATGAGCTTAGACTAGGTTAACCTCTTTTGCTGAAACTGTAAATTCCTAAAGAACATTACCTTTCCTAAAACACTGTAATAAAGAAAATAATTTAGTTTTAGTTTCTTTATCAAAACTGAGCATATATGCTTTGATAATATAACAGAAACACAAATAAGAAATGTACCATCTTTTATTTCTTGGAAAACAATTTTTCTCTAATAAATTAAAGGCTTTTGAATTAGAGTGGCAATCTCTTTGTGCTCTGGTCAGAGCTGGGAGTTCGTCACTAGAGGGCACTGGTGTCACACAGGGATTAGAAATAACAGACAAAAATGTTGGATATATTTTCCAGTGATGACAGGAATGCAGGCTCTTGAGGACAAGGTGGGGTTAGCTTCAAATTAGACAACAGTGGTATTAAGACAAGGACACCTTCATACAAAATTAGAGGTTAAAACAGAATCTGGGAAGTTTATTTCTCATTGACCAATCATTCAACAGCTTAAATTCAATTTATTATTTTATTAGTGAAATTCTGAACCTTTTGAAAGAGTGGTAGTGAAAAGAAGTCTCTCATTAGGTTGCAAAGAATCATAATATTGGGTGACATTTGGAAAAGATCTAACATCACTTTACTTGTGTGTGTGTGTGTGTGTGTGTGTGTGTGTGTGTCTGTGTGTGTGTGTGTCTGTGTGTGTGTGTGTGTGTGTGTGTGTGCTGATTTGTTCAGGAGTTCTTTGAGCCATTTGGTTCATTGTCAGGTAGGCATGAGAAAGAAAGAAAGAAAGAAAGAAAGAGGGAGAAAGAGAGAGAGAAAGAGACAGAGACAGAGACAGAGACAGAGAGAGAGAGAGAGAGAGAGAGAGAGAGAGAGAGAGAGAGAAGAGAGAGAGAGAGAGAAAGAGAGAGAGAGAGAGAGAGAGAAAGAGAAAGAGAAAGAGAGAGAGAGAGAGAAAGAGAAAGAGAAAGAGAAAGAGAGAGAAAGAGAGAGTGTGTTGGACTGTGACCGATTAGGGAGAGATGATCCCTGCTTATTACAATGTCTCTGCCAATTACATGGACGGGCTTTGGACCAGTGGTCTTCAAATCCGGTCCTTGGACTCTGGAGCACTGTTGGATTTCCATTCTGTCAGGTAGTTAATTGCATCCCTCTGAGGTCAGAGGTCTAAATTGGTCTGTGATCACAAAGCTAGAATGGAAGCTGCCAGGAAAAAAAACGAGCAGCACTCTGAGCCACTTTAACATTTAACCTGTGAAGCGACAATTTTGGCACATGATGTGGTTCGATGGTGAAGATGCAGAATGCAGCAGTGAGCAAACTCCAGTGAAGACTTGTCTGGGTTTAGCTGGGGTGTTGCTTGGTGCTGGGATACATTTTAAAGGGATGTGAAGATGCAACTAAAGAGGCTCGCTGCAGACGTGTGTGGAAGTGGAAACTTTAAAAGACAATTCACAAAAATACCAGAAGAAAAATATCGAAAGGAAATTGTTTTAGAGGAAACCAGAAGTCTGAGTAGGACTGAGGACCTCGAATATCCACCCTCCCAAAATATAGCGCCCACACCACCCCGCCTTTAAAAAAAACTCCATCTACATGTACTGTAACCGCACAAGTGCTTTGTGAAGCACATTCATAGGCATGCCAGACCTGTAGGTGGAAGCAGTTCCTCCAAATCCTATCCATTTCGTCTTCCTGCTCAACTTCAACAAAACATGAAGCATGTCGCCTAGCTTGTTTGTGACTGATAAGGAGGTCAAATTGCTAAAAGACAAAAAGCGCTTGGACGATTGATAACACGAGCACAGCTCTGAGGGCATCCGTGTTGAAGTGCCAGCACAGGTCGCGCTGGTGCCGTCAGCACTTTTGTTGCAGACGGTGATGTTGTGAAACCTAAAGCTCAGGTTATTTCTGTCCACACAGAAACACTCAAAACGGAGAACACACAAATCTTCACTTTGGCCGGAGTTTTAAAAAAGTTTCGTTCTTGTTGCGTAAATCTGCATTTCCGTGTGGATGACCGGCCGAATCGTAGAAAAATATCTTCGTTTTTTTGAGACACCCGTCTACATGTAGACAGGGCCCAAGTCTAAATACACAATCTGTTATAGTCTTTAATGTTTATTTATCTATTTTTATTTCTGGGATTCCTCAGTGTTCCTGAAAACCATCCAAGGCCCCAGTAAAACTATCTTTGCACGTATTATAATCCAATCAGAAACAAAGAAAAAACAAAACAAAACCACTGATAACTGTACTCACCTGTTTCCATGGTTACCTTGGGTTGATGGGAGGATCTGCCCAGCAGGGGGGGGGGGGGGGGATCAGTGGGTAATAAAGCGAAGAGCTAATGGAGAACTGAAACAGCAACAAAGCGCCCGAGGAATAAACCAAACCACACATTCCCCTCACTGTGATGAAGATTGAACTCACTTCAGGAAAGTGAAAAGGTGAACAGAAGAAATAGAAACAGTAAAAACTGTGTGTGTGTGTGTGTGTGTGTGTGTGTGTGTTAACAACAGGGGCCTGTATGATAGATGTGCTACTGAAGATCTGAAATTAATCGCTATGCGGTAAAAAAAAAAGATGACTAAAGTGTTTTTGGTTGAATGTAATGTTTCTGCTGTACTTCCTGCTTTACATTGAGCTGAGCTACAAATGAGAAGTCCAGTTTCCTTTGAGTTAGCAGAGGCGAGAGTTATTTGGAGATGTGCTACAGATGTTTAGACAGATCACGACAAGCTGTTTCTTTTCCCTGCCTATGCTCGTTTATATTGATGTACTGTTATGAGCTAAAGAATAATCTGCACTTGTAAAAATAAGCTCTTTGGACGGACTGGCACTGTTCCTCACTGCAAGAGGTCTGCTGTTTTTATCAACTCTAGAATTTAGGTTTGAAGTTTCATCTTGTGTAGATGCATTCCTTCCTCCTTCAGATTAGACTCTCAAATATTGGTAGATCTGTTGATTTAGCGTCAGTCAGCAAATAGTATATGTGAAGCTTTTTCACGCTGCACCCAGGCTTTGTAGGTATAAGAAGAAGCCATCTGCCACTGTTCTCTACATACCCATTTTTGTCAGTACACTTACTACGGTCTCTAGTATAATTGAATGCCTTGTGACTTTTATTGATCTGTCACCATAATTAAAATGTATGGAGATCTATGGAAAGCAAAGGTACTTTAAGTACCCAGACTAAAGGATTACATGCTTGCATTAAGCAAACTGCAGTCACAGTGAGTTTGCTCCAGCTTACCAGGGAAATCTGTCACCAGAAGATTAAAGAATTTAGACTCTGAAATAAAGCAAATGTTGGTCACAGGTGCTTTATGGTAGGGAAGTATACATCTAAATTAACTCTTTACAACAGATTGGTAAATGATTATGGTTGGCCCAGGTTTTGTCTACATTAAATGTCAGTTTGGCCCCAGCCTCTAACCAGAATGTCTCTAAACATTTGCGTAGATAAAAAAGTTCCTGATGAGTCTCAGAAATAAGCTTTTTGGAAACTTGACATATTTCAAAGGTTATTTTGCAAGATTGACGTACTCTCAAATAAATTGCAAATCACCATGAACGTACCCTGAATCTTTCCCAATTTACTGTATCTTAGTGTAACTTTGTGTCTAAAACAAGTCATTTCTAATCACTAACAGGGCTGTCCAGTGATGTAATAGTGTTACAGTTTAGTTAGCCTTATATCATCAATCCTGTTTTAACAAATGTGCCCACAGCTGTTGTATAGGAGCTAACTAGCAAGTGTATAAATCATGGATATTTGAAAAGGTTGTAGAAAACCTAGAAAATCTCAAACACTAAAGGCATGAGATGATGCTCTATAAAGTCCCAGTTAACAAACCTGCTCCTCACAGTTAAGCCAATTCTTTATTCTGCCCTGACGGTGTCTTTTGTGAACTGCTGAGTTAGCTTTTTCAAACCAAAAGATTCAGTTGTCCTTCCAGCCTCTGATTGTTCGTATGTTTTCAAAGTGCTGAGTGGGGTGGTTTAGAGTGGTGAGGTCAGCTTTGTCACTAACCAGTGATATTGCATAAAACACTCATTAAACCGTCATGTTCAGTTTGGTTGTTGTTGGGTTTGTTAGTCCCCTCTCTCTCTCTCTATCTCTCTCTCTCTCTCTCTCTCGCACACCAATAGGTACGTGATAAGAGTATGTCACGCCGTTGCAGTTTATTTTTTGCCTCCAAGAGGGGGATGCTCCTTTGTCAAGGCTGGGAAAGGTCAGAGCTGATAAAGGGCTTTGATTGTTAGACTGCAGAAGAACTCAAGCATCAGAGAAAAACAAAAGATGCATCCCAACAGCAGGTGAATGTTTTAAAGTGGGGTAAAGGATCTGTTCATAGTCATCACTTTTATGTTCTGGTAGAAATAGATGCAGAGACCAAGTGACAAAGACAAGTAAGGTTCAAAAGACACTAGACGTGCCACTTTACTTAAATTCTCAAATAAATAAAAGTTCACGTCGTTGACACGGTGAAGATTTCAATTTCAAATCACTGAACATTTCCAATGTTGGGAGGCAGAGCAGAGTCTTCTTTCTGCTTAACGCCGTGTGTCCTCCCAGCTCAGGAGCAGCTTCCTCCTCTAGTGTCCATGCACAGACCAAAGGCCTCTGCAGCCCTATGGACCATTTTGCAAATAAACAGCTGGCCGAGACAGCACAGGGCTGCGATGTAGGCCTTAAGAGTTTGCTTTTCTACCTGCTATCTCTCTGCAATGCAATTTCCTACCTCCTGAGATTGGGAGAAGAATCAAAAGGACACTAGACAGCATCAACATAGCAACAAAGTACTGTAGCAGCCAAACAGGCATCACGTTCTGTTTGAGATGCATAGAGCTGGACCTGGCCAGATAAATCTCTCTTTTACAGATACAAGATGAGAAACATGCAACAACAACAACAATACATCATTAATCTCACTGTTTCCTGGGCTTTCTGGACACATTCAAGATCAACAAGTAATTTACAATCCTCCATGAAGTGACAGAAATAGTGGGGGGTGGGGGTGGGGGGGGGGGGGGGGGTGCGTCTCAGAGTCTCTGAGCCTCAAAGCATGGCAGCAACTTGCAGAAACACTGGAAGGAGCCCTGTGGTGGAACACAGACCATGATAATTAACCGCTGATGCAACAACAGGGCAAAGGGAGTCCACAATCAGACGTCCGTGGAGGGAACATATTTACATCCAATATGTCAGCTAATGCATCTGGACTCACACACTGGTCAGAGACACTGATACACACAGCAAATAAGGAGTATGAGGATGACGGAAACAAAAAAAGTGTCCATGTTTGAAGGGTTGAAAGATCAGAGAACAGTTTTTAACAGGGGCTTGACCTTTGTTTAAATTTCACACACTCCGTTTTGTATATGAGGAAAGAGAAAAACACTCAAAAGTAAAGTTTGTATGAAGTTCATTGAAGAGAGATAAGGGGACTGCATGATGTGCCAGGATTACAGAGACTGGAATGGCTTCAGATCTGTGCCGAGTTTAAGTTTCCTGGTCAGCTGATGGCAAAGTAAAATGGAACGAAGCTACCAAATATAGCCAATTTCATCATCCTTGTCTTCTTCCTCATCCTCATCATCCTCAATGGTTCCCCTGGGGTGGATCCGGCCCCGTCTTTTCTTCTGCCGACTTCGTTCACTCTGTGAAGGCTCCTCCTCCTGGTCGTCGAGGAGAATAACTGCACCACCACTGCCAAAATCCCCTGATGTCTCTGGGTCCTCGTCTGTAGATAGGTTATCAGCACGTGCAAGAACAGAAGAAACCCTTGGTCATCAACAGTCACAGGTATCGCTGAAAGTTATTCTCCAGTGACTTTTAACATCCAGGTTTGTATGTCTACATACATACATTCATACATCCACACATACATGTGCGTGCACACACACACACACACACACACACACACACACACACACACACACACACACACACACACACACACACACACACACACACACACACACACACACACACACCTACCTACTTAAATACATATGTACCTACCACCCTACCGACATACATGCTTGCCTACCTACCCCCTCCCCCTCTCCCTCCCTCCAGACATAACTACATACGTACGTATCTACCTACCTATGTACCTGTGTATGTACGTACCTAATATCTACCTACCTACCTACCTACGTACATTCGTACGTACGTTCCTACCTACTTATGTACCTACCTGCCAACATCCCTCCCTCCCTCCCTACCTACCTACTACCTACCTACTACCTACCTACCTACCTACCTACCTACCTACCTACCTACCTACCTACCTACCTACTACCTACCTACCTACCTACCTACCTACCTACCTACCTACCTACCTACTACCTACCTACCTACATTCGTGCGTACGTACCCACCTACTTATGTACCTACATATGTATGTAATTAATATCTACCTACCTAGCTGCTACCTACCTACAGAAGTACCTACAGAAATATGTACCCAATATCTACCTACTTACCTATGTACTTACATATGTATGTACCAAATATTCACCTACCTACATATATGGGCATAAAAAATAAGAGCTTTGGAGACTTTTTCTGAATTCAGTATCATACAAACTTTTTAATTTAGTCTAGATCAAAATGACAAAGTCAGATTTTATTCTTCCATCATTAGGGATTATTAAAAAAAAAAAACAAAGGTATTGCTTTTGGTGAGTTCAAAATTTTAAAGATATCGGCCAGAGGCAAAATTCCTTTGAATGGCATGTTTAAAGAAGTATTAAAACCTCAGATGAAAAAGGTTTTTGGATTTTTCACGACTGGAATTTTAAGAAAACCTGATGTTGTTGACTAGTGCGGGAAAAACAGAAACTAACTTCCGTTCTATGCCCTGGGCAGCTGGTGACGTTTCACAAGTAGATCTGCTGAAACAGCTATAGAACACAACCCCCGACTCCAGTGTTTCTGCTTTATAGCAGAGAACAATGTAGCTTCTGAAGCCTCTGCTAGTCAGTCCGATTAGTTTTTTCTCTGGGATACGGCGACGAGAACGGATATACCTGAGTAGTTCAACCGAACTCCAAACCCACTAGCTGGATATCACTACCGGAGGTGCAGACATGTTTTGGACCGTTTGACTCAGAAGACCCGCGACTCGATTTGAACACTGGGGAGGATTCTGTTCATCTTCAGAACCAAAATCTGTACAGTTTGTTTACTTTTATATTTTATTTTTCATTTCTGTGCTCCACCGGGAGCTCTAAGCTGATGAGTTCTCAGCTGGTCTTAGCTCCACCATCTGTCTCAATATAATTCAATAATTTAACCCTAACCCTAATTAAATATGTTGCCAGTTTTACCGCTGTGTGTATATATTGATATAACTCTGGAAAATATGTAACCGATAATTTACCAGAATAAATCTTCCTGATGCTGGAGTAACTCGCTAGCTCGTCTCTTTGTTGCACTAATCCAGGATGGCACGGAGGTTCTACCGGTCCCAGGAGGATCTATTGTTGAAATATGGTGATCATCTTTAGATTATATCTGTCTGTGTGTTTTGTAGCTTTCCTAAATAACTTGTTTTTTCCTTACCGGAGCTAACACGGTTAGCAGTGTTGCTGCAGTCATGCTAATGGGACTTTGGAGTCCAGAAGTACCGGTGCGGTTCTAGATGGATTTATAGATGTAGGTTAATATTTTAGATCAGATCTATGTTATTTAAAAATGAGTGTAGGACACGGACATATGGCTCAGACCTTTTGCTGCAGCTGTAAACACACTTTTCTGGAATAATTAAGAGCACTAAAGAAAACAAAATACAGTTATTCACTATACTAGCAACAGCAGCTACCTTGTTTGACGTGCTGGAGTGACGTATGCGAAACACAGTTCTTTACTCTCTGGAGGAGAGAATTAGGATTTTCTGTAATGATTTATGACAAAATTCCTAACAAAATGAAAAACTGAACCAGTTCATATTTATATTGATGGTAAAGTGTAGTTATACTGCATTTCTACAATTTTAATGCAGAGTTTGGCCAATACCTTTAAAAAAAACAAAAAACAAAAACAAAGCAAAAACTGAAATGAAGAACTCAGATTGGACTCAAGGAAATGGCCTTTTCGGGAACATGTTTAAATCACTGAGCTTAAAAGTGAATGGTTCTCTTGCTTGTTCCAAAGGTGTGCCTCCAGAAAGTTCAGAAGATGAGGATTAAGTGTTATGAGGTGCCACACTAAAACCAAGTCTTAAGTTCTATTCATCATACTTTTCTCATCAGTTTGAAAATACTGCAAAGTGGGTTTGGGGAAACCCCATTATATTCATCTTATACTTCCTCCTCATTTGGTCAAATCTAGTTAATTGTATAACATTGCCACAATTACAGTGCATTTGCTCATAACAGGATTGCACTCCATTAGAGGTCTAAAATGCATACAAGCCTGCTGAGTCACTACAGCAGGTACAAACCTCTGTCATCAGCACCTGGTCACACTGAAATAACAGCGTTACAACAAACCAAGAGCACAGAAGAAGAGACAAGGAAGTAAAACCAAGTTTGTTTATTATTCAATGACGTGAAGAGCCAAGGGGGTCTCTTGTCAACTACCTGGCTTCAGTGAAGTCTGGCTAATTAGGGATGAATGCTTGATCCGCTGCAGTCACAGAGTGAACTGGAGTAATTATAGCAGCTTCTGTTTGGAGAGGGGACTTTGGAGGGAAAGTTTTATGAGCTCAGTTTAAAACTGGCTATTTACACCTGTGTACCAGTGCACTTCAGACGAGCTGCACTTATGATGTTAAAATCAGTTAGGTGTCCTTGTGTTTGTGCTGTTGAGAGGTGAGCTGTGAGGCTTGTTGTGTGAAGGGGAGAACTCCAAGCTGCTCCAGCCTGAAGCCATTCAAACTGAGTCTGATGAGCTTGTTATACCAGAAACAAAGGAGTGCTGCTGTCCAAGTGTGTGTGTGTGTGTGTGTGTGTGTGTGTGTGTGTATGTGTGTGGTTGCTGGATAAACACCTATCAATATTGGAATCTGCAATTACTGGCTTTTGACTTGTAGATTGGCACTGGTGTGAGCTGTAATGGTCGGCTGTGAACTATTTGATTGGTAATCACTGTGTCTCCCTGGACCTTTCTCGCTAATTATTGTTCTTTTTTTCCACAATGAAATGTTACTGCAGTTGATTTGAAGGCAAGTGTTGGTGTTTTGCTTTTTTGAACATTTTCTTTAAAACATGCTGCTGCTGTCATGCAAAGTGTGATTTAGACATTTTGAAGTTTGGGGTTACTCTCTTCCTTTCTGCAAAAATAAGAATCCAATTTTTAGCAGTGTTTTTTCTTATCTGACCCTGTGACAAACATTTCTATTTGAATAGGAAGATCGAAGTGTTTTATCAGGTCTACATAAGGAGAAATCAGTGGAAGGTGGAATGAAGTAGGAAGACTAGAGGCCCAGTAGGATGGATTTCTCAGAAGACAACCAATCTGCAGATGCCGGGTAAAAACGAAGTACGACATAGGAAAGCTGGTTAGGTTTGAAAGAAAAGCTTCACAGTCTGTGATCAATGAACAAATGAAGGAAGAAGGCAGATTTTCAACTGCGCATCTGCATCGGAGCACTGACGCTGGGAGACATTTAAACGTTTTTAGATAAATGAGTCAGTGGGATGAAAACCAACACAACCACCTAGTAAGGTTTGCTGTTCTGCTTCAGAAACCTTGATTGTGTTGATGTGCTCTGTCTCACCGCAGTTAGGGTTGCCCTGTTTTCTAGAGCCAGCGATCTCATTGCCGTATTTGTCCACACACCAACACTGGCCGGTGCTGCCGTGACACTGAGTAGGTTTGTAGTAGCCCTCGTCGGTACAGCGGGGGATGTAAGAGCCTGGAGAGGAAATGAGTAAGGGAAGTGGGAATGAGGCGGCGTAAAGAGGGAGGAAAGTAAAGGTTATATGTAGTAGGTGAAAACTGAACACATATACTGACCACTGCAGAGGAGAGGTAGCACACACACACACACACACACACACACACACACACACACACACACACACACACACACACACACACACACACACACACACACACACACACACACACACACACACACACACACACACACAACCCTCCTGAAGGAGCAACTCTTGAGTAATCGCAGAGGGAGATTAACAATAAACCACTACTCTGAAGGTTGCAGGACAACAATCAAACATGTTGCCTAAAGGGAAACAGTCACTGTCAATAACCCTGAGGCAAACAAGTAACCACACACACACACACACGCACGCACGCATCCACGCACACACACACACCTTATGTTTGCTGCCTTCATTTCACCCCGCCTCGGCTTCGTTTTAAAGCCGTACGCTTCGTTTCACAGCAGGTACGCTACACAAGCTGCCCAGTGGGAATCCCTGAATCACTGCTTGGCATTAAAGTCTGTCGCTATGAGAAAGGACCTATATGGTTTTCTGGTTCGTGTTTTAATCCAGCATCAAGAGAACATGGTGACAGACAACTGGCACTTCCCCAGACTGACCTATGAGGCTCTTTCTTCGACTCTGATTCTGGACCCTGCTCTTCTCAGTTTGACAAGGCAGTCCTGCAAGAAGAGCAGATACAAACAACACAAGAACATTCATATCAAATCTGTACGTTTAATAACATTTTCACAGCTGCAGCGTTCATCAGAGGACAAAATAATATGAACACAACTCATCTCACCTGTCTAATGAAACAAATCTAAAATTATCTGATCAAATCAAACAAATAGAATAGGCACAGAGGAATGGTCATGAACAAGATCTGAAGACTGTGCAAGGATCAACAGTTTTACAGCTTATTTTTTTCTGTTTCATTCATTTCCATTCCTGGACAGCAGGCTGAAGTCCGCTGATACATAGCTGCGGCCTTCTAGGAAGCATGCGGGTTCCTACCCCCCCCCCCCCCCCACCACCACCACCACCACACATTTTGATTATGTTGTGACTGTCTGAAAGTGTGCTTTTGTGTTTCAGGTGTTTTTTCCTGCAAGCCAACTCCGTGCCCTTTAAGGGGCAGAGTCCTCCTCCATCCCTCCCCTCCCTTGTGTAACCCGTTTCTTTATCTACATAAGGGGAGTCCCGTGATGGCTGCATACACACAGTTAACCGTGTTTCTGTTTCAGTGTTTTATATGTTGTATGTCTGATCTTGGAAAGGTTGTACTGAAACTACTTTCATTGTACTGGGATGCTGGTTCATTGACAAATAAACAGTGTTGGGCAAGTTACTTCAAAACTGTAATGCATTATTTATTACTTGTTACCCTCATTTTAAAGTAATTCATTACATTACAATATTACTGATTTTAAAATGTAAGGAATTACACTACTTTTGCATTACTTTAAGTTACTTTCACCAAAACAACTTCAATATGAATCTGGTAATCTGACGCTCAGTGAGCTCATGACATATATGTGGAAAGAGATGTGGTGTCTGAGCTAGGATTGCTGTTAAAACAGTCAGAAATAATAACAGTGCTTTAAAATGATTGTTTATTAAATAAAAGCAACAACAATCTTTACTCTCAGCACTGCCATCTTATATTAACTGAGCAGGGAGTGAGGTGGTGGGGGCTCCAAGCCTATATTTGCCTTGGTCCCCAAATGCCTTGATACGGCCCTGGATGTGGGGCTGACTTCTGGGGTGATCTGATTCTATCACATGTATAAATATTAAATGCTTATATAGTATTGCTTTTCACTGGTAAAAATGTGTATTGGGGATAAATCTACCTACATTTTTCTTTTTTTTTTCTTGGTTTTATGTGAATAATTTCCTGCCATTTCTCTCTCTAACCTTCCTGCATGCTGCATGTTTTCTCCGTCTTCCAGAAAAACTGTTTCTAGACTTCCTACTTTCTAACTATCTGCCAAAGGAATCTTCACATGCGCGGCGGTCCAGCAGCAATGAGTTGAAATCACCGGGGCACAGATTATGAACTCAGCTGAGGCAAAGCACGTCCGGAAAGCACAAAATACCAGAGAATATGCTCTGATATGAACGATCGCAAGTGAATTATTTTGTTTTAGTGGAGCGATTTTGTGAATGTTGCAGCGGCCGCGTGCAGGACGCAGCTGAGCCGTTACCGCGGCGTCCTCTCTGCCCGCAAAGCTGAGTCCATAAATGACGTAATATATGCAGATACTGGATCTTTCTTCGGGTTTCCCGCAATTGGAATTTTTAAGGAACACATCTTGATTCTGGGTTTTAAAATGCATTGTAATTACTGTGTTACTGACAATTGTACCAAGTAAATATTACCATTTTCTTTCCCTGTAATGCCTTACATTACCACATTACAACAAAAAGCAATGCATTACAGTAATTAATTACTTTTGTACTGCATTACTCCCAACACTGCAAATAAAGCTATCCTATTAATTTATTTATTCACACACACACACACACACACACACACACACACACACACACACACACACACACACACACACACACACACACACACACACACACACACACACACACACACACACACACACACACACAGCATTCCCTGGTTTAAACAGTGTCTACATGAAAATAATCAAAGGTGCAAAGTTTTCATTTTGATAAAATATCTTCATGCAAGCATAAATGTGGAAAATGTAACAAGCCCTGAAATGACTAAGCCATATATGAAATACCCAATAAACACACATGTCAGGGTCCAGGGATGTGAGGACCACACACAGAAGTTCTTCCAAAACACCAGTTTATGGTGGATAATAAAGTATCAGATACTTTGTTTAAATATACCAATAGGAAATTAAAATCAGAACACGGAGGAAATAGAAGTAAATCTTTAAAGCAACGACTTTCAATTTTTAACAGATGAGCTCCATATTTGCTTGTGCTTTTAAAAATATGGCAGATGCAACATGAGGAGCACATGACATCAGTGAACTGTTGTGTTTTTAGAGTCTTCACTTAGAAAAGTGTTATTTTTTAAACACCAGCAACACTATTTGTGTGCTGATGACAGGTGTAAATTCAGCAGATTGAGCTGATTTTACTAAATATTCATGTTGAGAGCAGATTAAAGAAGCCAGATTGGTCATATTGGGACACTGACACAAATGCAGCTGCAGATTATAGCAACGTATGAGATGCACCAAACTCCTTTCAACCATTAGTTTATCAGGGGGGAGGTCTTAGATTAGAACAGTGGTTCCCAAACTTATTCAGCCGCGCACCCCCTTCTATGTCCCGACCACGTCGACGCCCCCCCCCAGCCCCCACATCAGGGCATGGCTAGCTATATATATATATATCTCAGACGTCAAGCTAAACAGACAGGGTTAAAAAATATGATCGACCTTTTTCCCCATCACTTTCATTTTTTAAATGGTAATTAATAAACATTCGATACCATTACAATTTCCTTTGATTTAATTTTAAATAAATATTTAGAGTGCCCAGGTAGCACATAAACAATGCAATTTAACTGTTTTCTTAAAGTAGGAACGTTTAACCTGTGCGGCCCGAGCGCTCTCCTTCCTTCTGCTCTGCGTAAACCTGAGCTGATCACCTACTTGTGCGTAATCAAATCAAATCAAATCAAAGCTTTATTTATAAAGCGCCTTCCGCAACCTTGTCAGGAAGCCCAAGGCGCTGATCAAATGTCTATAGGGGGAAAGATGGAAAAGCTATAGCCATGAGGTTCACTTTTGCCTCAGACCGACTTATTGCTGTTTTATGGTGTGGCTGAATCTGCGATCCGCTGCCACGCTGACTGGAATAACAAATGCTGCAGTAACATGAGTTGTAGTCAGGTTCATGAGGAGTCACTGGCTGGAGCGGACCCGATTTTAATACATCATTCCAAAATAGAAGCTAATATCTTAATTTGACCTTGAATGAAAAATGTTATAAAACCTCTTAAAAGTTTTTATCACAGAGGAGGCAGCGCTCATTTCTGTCTTCAGTCTGACGGCGTGCCGGAGTTTGCGCAGCGTGCGCGCTTATTGAATCTGTGTGTGTGTGTGCGTGCGCGCGCGCGGCACAGCTCCATGAGCCGCTCAAGTCACCGCGTCTCGTTATTGGCGCTATTTAAACCAATGTTGTAAAATTACTTCTGCCCAGCCCAGATGTGCTCACATGTGCACCCGTGAGCCGTGGTTCCGCTGGAACGCGTCTGACCTCTGACAGACGCACTCTGAACTTCAGATCTTCAGCGCGCTGTTAATAGCCTGAATGGGACTCATTTCTTGATTTATTTTGTTACATCCACAATGTTCTGTGTGTGAGGTTTACAATGTCAGAACACCTGCATGAGACAGGGTGTTAATTACAATCTGCCAGAATGACTCACCACCTTCAGATTCCTCCAACACCATTAAAAATGATCAAATACGGAACATTTTGGTGTGCGCAGGCCAGAGTGCTGAAGCTCGACGCATTGTTATTGGGAAGCTAGGGCACATGCGGAGGACACTCGCGCAAAAATATACTTGTTTTCAATTACATTTATTGGGCCCACTTACTTTTCTTAGGCCCACCCACAAATGAGTTTCTGGCTACGCTAATGTTGACATCTGACAGACTTCTCTGAGCTCTGCAGCCATTACACTTTTCACCTCGTGCACCCCCTAGCGGCAGCTCGGTGCGCGCACCACACTTTGAGAATCCCTGGATTAGAAGATGGGGGTGTTTAAAAGCAAGTATACCTGATCTCTAGCAAGAAACAAATCACAAAAAAGAACAAAAATAAAAAGGAAAAATGGCTTCACTGACTGTTTAGGTAGATTGTACATGTTAAGTTTTATCAGCTCATGACATTTATTATGAGCTGATTAGATGCATTTTAATCAAATCAACTTATACTTACTTTTCATGTGCACACTATCAAGAATACAAACCAAACAGATAGATGCCCTCTCCTCTCCTACCTATAATTTGTTTACTTAAATGTCAGTTTTACTTCCTCTCCTTGTCCTCTGACTCTCTCACCTTCAGGCTTCTGGAAACAGTAGCACCACTCGTTGTTAGACAGCTTGCCGTCCTTAAACGAGTCACAGGAGTTGAAGAGAGGCTTCATGCACAGCTCATACTTGTCCAAGTAGATCGCATTCAGCTCCGATTGGTCCAGCAGGAGGTCAAAGTTCACGTCAAGCTTGTTAAACATCCAGCCCAGTGAGTCCTTACAAATAGGCAAGATGCTGGTGTCAAAGTCTGGTGCAGGAGACACAAGTAAAAGGGAAAGACACGAGAACGTGTGCAGGTCAGGAACATTTTCCTTTTTGATCAATTTTCAGCAGCGTACTGGGATTAGAGCGAGTGTGAGCGCTGCCACTGGCAGAGCGAGATGTGTTCAGAAATGTTGACATCACGGGGAACACAGAAGGGTCACAGTCAACATCAGCACCAGCTTTCACAAGAACCGAGAGGCGCGAGTGTTCGAGCAGGAAGGGACACACACACACACACACACACACACACACACACACACACACACACACACACACACACACACACACACACACACACACACACACACACACACACACACACACACACACACACACACACACACACACACACACACACACACAGGGGAGCACTCACGTCCAGCGCTGGAGTCAGAGCTGTCAGAAGATCTGAGGTCTCTGTTGGCATCGAGGTGGAGAACTCCAAACCAGTCCTTCAGTCTGGCAGCCAGGCTGTGGAGGTCTGTGTCGGAGCAGCCTGCACATCAACAACGACACACAAACACAAACAATAAGAAGCAGGCGAGCTACCAGTCTGCCGCTGTCTTCGTTGCAGGTCTAAAACTTTCATTTACATTGTGCGGCTTTAGCTTTTCCTCTCAGCTGTTTTTTCTGTTTTTCTTTTTCCTTCTGAGCAAACACAGAACACGGCTCCTGCTATCTTTTGATGGTTACCGTGGCAACCAAACCTGATGCACGCACTTATACAGTGACAATTTAAAATGTGGATAAAGGCCTTTTAGAAAGTTCACGTCGTTGTGCTCTGAAAAGAAAAACACATGGATCTCATGCAGAGAGACCACTTGACTCTTCCATTGTTTAAACTATAAATCCCAGCAGAGACAAAGCTGTGCCAGTGCCGTTTCACATGTTGATGATTCTTTGTGTAATTATGTCACTACCAGAACATTTGAAAATAACTACTTTCTTCAGCTGAACTGACGGTTTCTCTGCAATTCACGCGGACCTCAGTCTCATTTCTCAGTTTCTTTTTTGTCTTGTGCATGGGATTGACATTTTTTCCCTGATTCGTTTTATTTTCAGAGCGCGATAAACACACCCAGAGAACATTTCTCACAAACCGTGCCAATCCAGACCCTCCAACTTTGACATGCAGAGAAGCTGACACACTCTGCATGTTCAAAAATCACAAAATACTGGTACATGTCGCACTGTGCAAGCGACGTTTAATAGGTGTTGGGCATTATGAGTTCTTGCTGCAGCAGCAAAAGCGTCACAGACATCTGGTAAATATCAGTATTGAATGGAAAGTAAGTCCTGACGTTAACACTCCTATTGTTATATTCAGATGGAGGAAGAGGAAGAAGAAAAAGCAGCAGTCACACCGAACGCCATTTCCAGAAGCATTCTGCTGATGATGTTTGGTGTGGGTCATCTTTGGTCAATAGGGAACTAAATCAGCTGTCGGTGAGCCCAACACACAGATCAATCCTTGATTCCAGCTCACAAAGAGCAAAACCCCACTTAAATTCTCAGCAAGTTGTCAGTATACTTCTATGGCTCATTTGTGGAGTCAGGGAGCTGCACAGTGGCTCAGTGGTTAGCGCTGTTGTTTTGCAGCAATAAGGTTCTGGGTTCAAATCCTGCCCTGGGGTCTTTCTGTGCATGTGTGGGTTCTCTCTGGGTACTCTGGCTTCCTCCCACTGTCCAAAAACATGACTGTCAGGTTGATTGGTTTGTCTAAATTGTGCTTAGGTGTGAGCGTGTGTGTGTGTGCATGGTTTTTTTGTCCTGTGTGTCTCTGTGTTTCCCTGCAAAGGACTGGCAACCTGTCTAGGGCGTACCCCGCCTGTTAGCCCCGAGACTGCTGGAGAGGCACCAACCCCCAGTGACACTGTGTAGATGAGCGGGTACAGAAAATGGATGGATGGACTCAGCCCAATTCAAGACCACAGCTAATCAACATTATAGGTATAATTCAGACAACCTGAGAGATGCTGAACAAAAGTTACATTCACAGCACTAAGAACAGGTAAAAGGTCAGACTGTGTGTTAAATAATTGTCGAGATTAGTCCAAAAGTTAAATGGCTTTAACTCCATCTTTCCTCAGAATAGAATGACTCTAATTATAAACGCTGGTGTGAACGACAGCAGCTGATATGCATTTCCTTTCATTTATTTCAGAATGAAAACTGTTTTTAGTGAAACTCAGAGATGCAAAAATTACATTTCAATGAATCAATCATGTGATCCAAATGACGACTCTTATTGAACGGACACACTCTTGAAGTTCAAAAACTAAAAATATCTCACAAACTATCAGAACTGAAGGCAGAGACATTTTATACAAAATGTCCTGGTGGCACAGAGATACTAAAGAGCACACACACACACACACACACACGCACGCACGCACGCACGCACGCACGCACGCACGCACGCACGCACGCACACACACACACACACACACACACACACACACAGTAATAGTCTGAGACTGTGTATGGCTGCTCCTATAAAGCAGCAGCAGCAGCCTGAGGTAACAGATGAGCTGGAGCAGAGGACAGATAGCATTTATCTTGAAGGCGCTCTCTGTGTGACATTACCTCTGGAATTACAAGGTGGGCCTTCTCTCTCTCGCTCTCTTTCTGTGTACGTGTGTGTGTGGGGTGGGTGGGTTATGTGTGTGTGTGTGTGTGTGTGTGTGTGTGTGTGTGTGTGTGTGTGTGTGTGTGTGTGTGTTGTAATCCTTCAGGATCATACAGATAACATTTCAGAATTCATGGTGCTTTTTATTTCCACACTGCAGCTGAGAACACAGAAGCAAAATGAAAGGCTCAACAGATGGGCTTTATCAGTCTCCAACTCAAAAAGAAAATTCTAAAACCAAACATTTATCTCCTCGTTTGTTTCTTTACTGTTCATCTTCTTTTCTGCTCCCATTTACAATGAAACAGTGTGTGTCGTTCTCTCTGCCTTTAAGACCTTAGTTAATGTTGTCTTCTGATGGGTTTTGTTCACTTTCTCTTCTACCTCTTTCATTATTGTCTCAGTCTCTTATCACACCTGGCTCTTAAACCACCTTCTCACTTCTGGACTTAGAAAACCACTCAGACGAATCCCATCCTTTATTCTCACTTTAATTACTTCACATCATTTCCTAACCCTCCTTGAACATCCCTGACAGACAGGTTCTCCTGGACTTTACACATTGTTTCAGGTGTTTTCATACATTAGTGATGCTTTTGTCTGTGATGGGATTAAGTCGGGAAAGAAAAGTCTTGATTTGCAGCCAAGAATCCTCGCTCAAAGAGGCCAAATCTTGATGCCAGCCCCCAGTAACTTTCAGCCTGTATCCAAGCCACCGTATTTCAGTAAAGTAATTGAAAAGGTCTTCACACTCAGCTCAGATCCTGGTTCTCTAGCTGCAAGATCTCTGACTTCTTCCAGTCTAGCTTTGTGAAGCAGTGCTCGACAGGGACTACAGTGGTAAAGGTCTACAATGGCCTCCTAATGGCTACCGATGCAGAAAAATGCTCTGTCATGGTTCTGCTTGACCTCACTGTAGCTTTCAGCACACTAGACCACAACATCTTAATGAACGGCCGAATGTTCTGGCTGGTATCTCTGCTTCTGACTATCGATGAAACAAAACTTTCTCTGTGAAGTTAGAAACCTTCTCCTCAGACACTACTCTCCCCAACCTGTGGGGTCTCACAAGGCTCAGTTCTGGGACCTCTGTTATTTTCCTTCTACATCCACCATCATCCATGTTTCCTGTAAATCTCCTATCACTTGTATGCTGATGACATTCAGCTGTATGTCCTTCAAGTCCCACCAGTTGGACAAACTGGCCACCCTTGTTCTGTGTCTGACAAATATCTGTAATTGCTTGTCAACTTTCTAGTTCTTGATGCCAACAATACAGGACTCTTTAGCATAAACGACGCCACTAAGCTTCGGTTTGGGTGTTTTGTCTTCTGGATGGACCCGTTTCTGTCTGAGGGTGTTGTTGGGTTTAATGTTTACCAGTTTCTCTGAAACTCCTGCCACGTGTGGGGTGATAGTGCTTTTGTGCCTGTTCTTTGCTATTTGCTGCTGTGGATTCTTTTCCAAACTTTTTCGTTGATTCCACTAAGGTCCAGTTGGGGTATCTACAGTTTTGTAGAGCTTTGAACCAAACAGAAGCTTAGTGATTTCATCTATGCAATCCAATGCAGTGTGGACTCTTCGGACCTTTACATTGGGGAAACTTAACAACTACACAAGCGCATGGCCCAACACAGGAGAGCCACCTCTTCAGGTCAAGACTCTGCAGTCCACCTACACCTGAAGGGCAAGGGACTTTTGGAGATTCTGGACAGAGAAGATAGATGGTTTGAGAGAAGAGTAAAGGAAGGCATCTTTATTCAAATGGGACAAACCTACATTAAACAAAGGAGGAGGCCTCAGGTTTCCAGCACCCACAATGAAGCTTTACTCCTAATTCCAAAACAGTTTTGGTCCAGGTCACACCCTCCTGCATTTAAATCAGACAATATTCCCTAACGACTTCAATGACTCATCAGGGGATAAGACGGAGGGGTATTTATTAGGGGTGTAACGGTATGCTAACATCGAATTGTGGTCAGTGTCATTGAAGAGCTCAGTTCAATAAATTTTCAGTATAATTTTATACTTATTTATTTAATATCTGAAACAGCCCCTACAGTGGGCAGATCCAGGTGTCATCACAGGCTGCTGATCTAGCATGATGTCTTGATATATTTCACAGATGCAGCTATGAGTGTCACGCTCCTACAGACAGGTGTTGTGTTTGACTGTTGATGCTCCGTGTTTTCATTTCTGCAGCGAGCCCTAAAAACTCACCTCACACCGCCCAGAGTATCTTCTTTAAAACTCGTATTAAATAACAAGCTTCCTCCGCGCTGTATTTTTTGTTGTGGGATGAAAACTTTACAACAATTGTCTCAGGGGGAAAGTTCGGCAGATGTATTTGTTTACATTTTTGCCATTGCGTGTCTGCACAGTGTGAGAGAAGGGAGGGAGGGGGGACACAACACTCCGTTCAGCGTCTCTACAGGCTCCACAGTAGCAGCGACAGCCAGCTGGTTTGATCCGCTCTGAAAGGCGTTGATCAGAGTTTGCATATCAAATTTTTCATACGGGGATCGGGCACGTGCAGCCATCGTGCATCACTCAATACAGCGTCCGTGCGGAAACTCGCCTAGGAACTTTTATCTGCTGCACTTAAATCATGCAAATAAAAATGTATCGTACATTAGTGGACCAAACTGAACAGGTACAACGCTCCCCAGTGAACTGTTACACCATTAGTATTTATAGGTAGTCTCTGCTTGTTAAGCACCAATAGACAGCTCAGTTTCTAAGTTTGACCCTCCCATATTCCAGTCAGAGTTGACAAATGATAAGCAGATTGTTTTCAAGAAACCAAAGAAGTCCAGTTGCCTTCATTCGAACTCCTTTGGATCAAACAGGCTGTTGTTCCTTTTGCT